AAGCATTGCCAGGTGCTATGGGGAAATATAAAGATGACTTGATCTTGCCTTCAAGACATTGATATTGGGAATACTAAGACATCTACTCACATGAGAATAGTGATCTCAGCAGCTAGTAACTTCACCTTAAGTGCACTGGGAGTTCAAAGGCAAGAGGTATTATTTCCTCTTGGGGGCATTGGGAATACTTTATGGAGGAGGTCCAATGTGGGATAAGCTACGCTCTTTGGAGAGAGGGCATTCTAAGTGTGTTGGTTAGTGGTTAAAATTACAGAGACTTGAAGTCAAATCCTGATAGTGTGGCCAGAGAAATGTACTTATTTCTGCCTCAGTGCTTAACTAGAAAGTAGAGAAATTCATTTAGTACCTGGCACATGTACAAATATGTGAGTGTTACTATTAAAAGGAAGATGCATAAATACGCACAGTGCTAAAAAGTATGGCACATGGATGGAGAAGAATATTAGATTTATGTAAAGATTTGCCTTCAATGTGCATAAGCAGCTAGGATTCATATTTAAAATATGATTAGTGTTGACAGGGATTTGTAGCACAAAACAGTGTGCACCTGTATGGGATCCTTAGTCTTCTTTATCAAAAAGAGATGAAACTCCTGTGCCAATTAGTAGTGGGATCATACCTATGAATGCCACTATGCTCCAGCCTGGACAACATAGTGGGATCCTGTTTCTAAAAATGAAAAAAAAAAAAAAAAGAGAGATAAACAAGGATGTCTCCCGACCACTTACTGATGGAAACGAATATGAAAAATCCTTTTTTTGTCAAATTGGCAGGTCAGATAATAATAATAGCTAACAGTTACTGACACTATGTGCTAGTCACTTTCAACCTCCCAATAATAGGAAATAGCTGCTGTCATTACCCTATTTTACAGATCAAAAGGGGAAGGAACAAAAAAATTAAGTAACTTACATAGGGCCATACAGCTAGCAGGTGGTGGAGGCAGAAGTTAAACTCAGGCAGTCAGCCATTAGAGCTCTTGGTTGGTGTGCACTCTAGTTATTCATCTCTATCAATAACTGGAAAGATCCTTTAACGCAAAATTTGATGTGATTATTTATCAGTGATAATTATAGCTAATAAGCACTTATTAATCAAGTAGTGATTATTGGTAAAACACTTTTCTAAGTGCTTTATGTTTTTTTCTCATGTCATCCTCACATCAATCCTTAGAGATGGACTCTACTATTATTCCCATTTTATACATGGAGAAATTTGCCTCTATACAGAGCTGATACGTGGCAGAACAAGGATTCTGCCTGGGCTGCCTGACTACAGAGCCCAAAGCCCATCCTTTCAGCCACCTGCCCACTCTGCAGAAGAGAACACCCTTTGTATTTTACTCTGTAAGATCTCTGCACCATTCCCTACATTCTACACAGGGTGGGGAAGGGGAGTCCAACACCTCCTTCTGATTTCTCTGATTGGACAACTGGGAGAGAATAGCCTTGGTTATGGTCCAGGCCATTATCTGCTCTTTGGGTGGAGGGACACTTTTGGGTGTCCCACGCCAGACTTGTTCCACCTGCTCCAGGCTCAGATGATTAGTTCCTTTCATATGGACTCATTGCCAGTAAATGTGATTACCCAACCTTTGCTCAAGGGCAAACCTCTGCTTTGCCCAGTCAGCGTCCTGCTAAGGAGCACTGACCTGTCCTGCACATATCTTGCATGATCTCTGGTCTGGGGTGACTGTGCTTCACTGGAAGGCTGTGTTATTAGCAATGTGAACACTTTGTGCTGCCTCACTGACTCTCTCTATATTCAATTTTGCCCTTCCTGGCTTTTTGTTCTTTGGCCAGCTGTGCCTGTGATCTCCAGGCTATGGTAATCACTTTCCCCACTTTCCCAGGAAAAGGACTTCCTAATTGGGGTCTGAGCTTAAGTGGCTCTTCCTGCATTTAAATCCTTTGTGTGTTTTCATTAACTATTCTGTGTCATCACACAAGCGGTGGAGGCGGTGGTGGCACCATCCATTCATTCATGACACATTTATTAAGCACTTACTTATGTTCCAGGCATTGTGCTGAGTGCCGAGGTTGCCGTGGTGACCAAGATCAAACTTGTTTCTGCTTTCATAGTCTACTGTTTTTGAATGAATGAGACACATAAAGAGGCAGTTGCAAAGTAATTTGATAAATATTCAGATAAGGCAATAACAAGTATTTTGAGAGCACCTAAAAAGGGCAACTACTCCAGACTTGAAGGGCTGGGGCAGATCCCGGGAGAAGTATCATCTGAGACCTGAAGGCTGTCTAGAAGAAGCTAGACAGGTGAAGAGGCTGGTGCTTGGGTAGAGAGGAGGAAGAAGTGTTCTAGAAGGAAGGAACAGAAAATCCAAAGGCCAACAGACAAAGCAGGTAACACTTGGCAGCCGTGATTAGCTCAGCATAGCTAAAGCAGAGTTTGCAATGGTGTGTGGCCAGATATGATGCTGGTGAGCTGGACAGAAATGAGGATATGAAGGGCAGCTATCATTTAATCTTTCTATGTACTGCAGGCGTTCCCAAATTTTTTACACAGGGGGCCAGTTCCCTGTCCCTCAGACTGTTGGAGGGCTGCCACATACTGTGCTCCTCTCACTGACCACCAATGAAAGAGGTGCCCCTTCCTGAAGTGCCGCGAGGGGCCAGATAAATGGCCTTAGGGGGCCGCATGCAGCCCACAGGCCGTAGTTTGGGGACGCCTGAGCTAAGGAGTAACATTTGTTGAGTCCTAGTATGTGTTGGGGATGATGGATAATCTCAGAGACTTTCATTCCAGACTCTAGCCTATACCACCCAAGGGCCCCAACACAGCCAAATGCCTTCCTCCTTCAGGTAGAGTCCCTTGTGGCTCAAGGTACACCAGAGTCTTCCATCTGTTACTGCCTGCAGTACTCTCCACTCTGAAAACTGGTGCCCTTAATCAGGGTCCCCTCTGCCACCTCTGCTGCTGCTGCTTCCACAGCCAGGCCTGACGTGGCCTCTATTGCTGGGGTTAATTTCAGTATACCACTAGCTACTGGGAACTGCCAGGCCTTTGACATTCACCAGCAGTTCCACAAGGTAGAGGTGTTTCTCTCCATTTGCACAGATGGGGAAACTTAGGCTCAGAAACATTAAATTACTTGTTGCAAGCCACAGAGCTCTAAGTGGCAGAGTTGGATTTGGGCTTGGTTTGATTCCAAAGCCACTACAACAACCACACAACAGTTTCTCTTTCCCCATCAGTCTTGCAGTTCTTACTGGGATCCCTTGAGTCTGCTCCTTTGGTTTTCTTATTGACCCTTTTCTTCAGGATGAGTCCCCAAATGTTGGGCCAGAGGTTTTTCAGAGGCCTCTCCAAGAGTTCTCCTTAACTAAGCTCTCACAGGAAAGAACTGAATTGAGACCTCTCAGCTCGCTAGGGGACGTTAAATAACCAACAATAGCCTGCCCTGCCCAGCTGTATGTCCAAGATTGGAGGCAGCCTCCAGCACGCCCCCACTCCTCCAGCCGCTTTAAGAACAATACTTTCTGACGTTGGCTAGTATTCCTCAGTTCCCCTCAGAGGGTCTGGTGATTTTTTTATTCAAATAGATGTTTAGGCAGCTCTTGGTTTATCTGAATATCCTAAGTGTGATTTGCTGGTGAGGTTCCTTCTTTGTCTCTCTACCCAGACTCTCACTACATGCTGTTTTTTAATTCACTTTTATTTTTGTCACCTTCTTTCATTATCATTTTAATGTTCAATTTTGTGCTAAATAAAATAAGATTTTTCTATTCTTCTGCTCCCTCCCGCCTCTTTCCTCAAACAGCAGGAAAGCCCAGGGACAAATCTTGGGGATTCTACCAGTGGAGATGAATGTGTTCATGAGCTAAGGCTCCAGCTTCAGACAAGGGTAGTAATGAATCCATCACCAGGCTGCTATTAAGTATCTCTTCACTAAAAGCTTAGCTCTCCCTACAGCCAGACAGCCTCGGCTCTGCACTCCTGAAGGTAATCTGGACCCTGTCACTAATTACTCCTCTTCCTGGAAGCAAGTAGAAAAGGCAATTTTCAAATTGTTTCTATTGATCACAAAGCATTTTCTCCGGAATACCACTCTCTATAAAAAGGGCATGCAATTATTTCCAACTAATACAGTCAAGAAATTTTATAGAAGAAAAGCAGTTTGGCCAGGCGCAGTGGCTCAAGCCTGTAATCCCAGCACTTTGGGAGGCCGAGGCGGGTGGATCACGAGGTCGAGAGATCGAGACCATCCTGGTCAACATGGTGAAACCCCGTCTCTACTAAAAATACAAAAAACTAGCTGGGCGTGGTGGCACGTGCCTGTAATCCCAGCTACTTAGGAGGCTGAGGCAGGAGAATTGCCTGAACTCAGGAGGCGGAGGTTGCGGTGAGCCGAGATCGCACCATTGCACTCCAGCCTGGGTAACAAGAGCGAAACTCCGTCTCAAAAAAAAAAAAAAAAAAAAAAGAAGAAGAAAAGCAGTTTGCATAGTGGTCATTCTACAATTTAGAATCAATACACTTGAGTGCAAATCCTGGCTCCGTCCTTTACTAGCCGTATGAACTAGGGCAGATCACTTAATATCTTTGAAACTCACTTTCTCCTGCCGTAAAATGGGAATATAGTTCCCATTTTACACTGGGATTATAAGGACTTTACGGTACTGTTGCAAGAATTAGGTTAGTGGGGATTAAATAAAGCAGAGCAAGTTAGTATAGTTTTGACCCAGGAGGTCCTATTAATGTATTTATTATTATTATCAAGAAAGCCTTCTACCTGTCAGTCTTCAGAACAATCTGATATATTTTCATTTGCTTCTTGGGATTCTCTCTTTTCCATACAAGTTCTCATTCTTTTTCAAAAGTAGAATGAGATACTGCTTCCATATATACTCTGAATCTCATCTTTTATAATAGTCTAATAAAATTCCGGCTTAAATAAATTACACCTAACTTTTGGCATTCATTTAGCCTTCTTCAATAAGATGCCTGTGTTTCCATTGCAGAATGATGAGGTGGAGTTTGTCCAAACTGGCTATGGGAAGGATATGATAAAAGTTCTCCGTATTCAGAGAGATGGAAAATATCACAGCATTAAAGAGGTGGCAACTTCAGTGCAACTTACTCTGAGTTCCAAAAAAGATTACCTGCATGGAGACAATTCAGATATCATCCCTACAGACACTATCAAGAACACAGTTCATGTCTTGGCAAAGTTTAAAGGAGTATGTATCATTCTTCTTAGATGCTGCCTGTCTTGCAGAATTTGCTATAAAACAACATGAGACGTTACTTGCTTATTTCAAGTTCCCTTTGCATTTTAACCTATTGTTACATTTAAGTCATTTTTTGAAATGTTTTTTTCTATCCTAAAGGTCTCAGGATTGAAGAAAACTGCTAAAAAAAAAAAAAAGAAAACAACAACAAACCTCACATCTTTCTTGCCTTGGCTCTCATCTCACTACAGTCCTTTAGGTAGAGAATCTTATTGGACAAAGTACATGTTATCTCTAAATAGAATCAAAGGAAAATCAAGGTCCTGAAAGAATTTTAAAATAGAATTTTACACATTTTTGTCATGACTTTCTGGGTCTTACCATTTATTTTTTAATTTTTTTGGAATGGTGTACATTTATAGAAAAAAATCATTTCACTTATTAATACAGATGAAGATCTTGAGTATAAGATATATTTATTTATTTATTTATTTATTTTGAGATGATTTATTTATTTATTTGTTTATTTTGAGATGGCGTTTCGCTGGTTACCCAGGCTGGAGTGCAATGGCGTGGTCTCGGCTCACCGCAACCTCCGCCTCCTGGGTTCAGGCAATTCTCCTGCCTCAGCCTCCTGAGTAGCTGGGATTACAGGCACGCGCCACCACGCCCAGCTAATTTTTTGTATTTTTAGTAGAGACGGGGTTCCACCATGTTGACCAGGATGGTCTGGATCTCTTGACCTTATGATCCACCCGCCTCGGCCTCCCAAAGTGGGATTACAGGCTTGAGCCACCGCGCCTGGCTGATACATTTATTTTTATTAAAATATATTTTCCAAATGTTAATGCCATTCTAACTTTCTCAACTCTCTTACCATTTACTGTTGATATATAGTGGTTAAATGGACTTTTCAAGTGAGATTTAGGTCTGCTAGAACTGATATTTTAGCATGTCCACATCTGGTTTCTTCAAGTGTGAGTGAAGCTGTGTGAGGCCACCCAGATTTCTGGGCAATTCAAGGTGATTTTTTTTTTTTTTAATTGCCAAGAAGTCTAAAAAGACAAGAAATTTAGACTGGAAAGCTTCTTTTCTCATGTTTTTTCATGAAAAACATGAAAAAAGAAGCATACCCATGATTCATTAAATGAACAAACATTGCAAAATAATTTCTGCAAGTCCAATTTCCACCCTGAACTTTTCTCTTGCTAATCAGAATGACCCAGCAAACATAGAGAGGGCTATGGAAAAAGGAATTGCACTCTTTAAAAAAATCATTTGAAAGTAGACCTGTACTGTGATGTGGACAAGGGTCAGGTACAACAGATTCATGTATTTCCTGTACTGTTAGGAGTTTGCACAAAAGTGAAAAATGAACCTGAATGTTAAAATCCACTTAAAATCATTCATTATGGATAGAGTGATCATATAACTTCTTATCCAAACCAGGACACTTGAGTTCAAAATAAGATGTTATTCATAATTATTCTGGGCCAACAAGTGTAAAACAGAACTATACTGGGGAAGGCTGTACAAACAGTTTAATTATAGGCAAAGCCATTAATAATTTGCAGACTGTCCTAAGACCATAAATATTGCCTAGGGATTAATATGGAAACTGCATTATGTGGCTGGACAGCTGGGATCAACAGAAGGCCTGTACGCAAGGCCAGAAAGGTGAGGTGGCTCTTCATGAACAATTTTCCTTGGGAAACTCGGAAGCCCATTTGCAAATCTCATAGAGTTCAGAGTGTTATGGTGCGCTGTGGTTGGTACAAGTGATGACTGAGCTCACTGTGAAAAGAATCTGAATGTTAAGTTACTTTTTGCTCATCCACTGACACATCCTCTCCTGCAAGATGGGTGTCTTTTAAAAACAGGAGTCTCACCTGGTGATGGTGATTATTAACTTCATTTGTGAGCTATAGTAAAAATGTTACTATAGTTTTTTTAAATATAAACACCTTTATCACTTGAGACAGACTCTTTCTATTCTGTGCTTGTCTCATTTTAAAAAGCAATTCATCAGGAAAGACAATGTCATGAGTAATATCAAAGGATAAAATTATAATAAATTTTGTTATAGATTGAATTGGTTTTTATTTACTATTAGGGGCAGCTTCCATTCCATGAAAAAGAATAAGAGCTCCTACTAGGCAAGAACAAAACATTGGGTTTTGTAAGGTGGGAACCAGAAACAGAACAATGTGGGGGGCGGGGGGGAACCCCAGAAACAAACAAAAAAACCTGATTGGTTAACATCAGGTTTCAGGTTACTTTTTTGGTAAGAGTTAAAGCAGAGGGGACTTCCTTACTAGACTGATTCAGGTAGACTGGAATCTCCTGTTTTCAGAAAAAACTGGTCTATTTTGGTATCTATCTACTTCCTTAAAGCTTCAGTTTGATTATATGGCATTTAGCCTAAGCGACTCCATTTTGGTCTGGTCGCTGGGGCCTAATGCAGGAGCTTAGTCCAAAGCAATGACCTCCCATAATTTCATTTAATAGTATTTATAAATTATTTTTAAATGAGACAGTTATTTCTGGTTTGAAGCATTTTGTTTCTTTCTACAGATTGAAAGCATAGAAGCCTTTGCTGTGAATATTTGTGAGCATTTTCTTTCTTCTTTTAACCATGTCATCCGAACTCAAGTCTATGTGGAAGAAATCCCTTGGAAGCGGCTTGAAAAGGTTAACTCACTTATTTGTGCTCTCAGTTTAATTAATGAAATTGGCTTTATGGCAAGTACTGAATTTTTCCTAGAAATAATTTGTTTCCCTAATTTTCAGAATGGAGTTAAGCATGTCCATGCATTTATTCACACTCCCACTGGAGCACACTTCTGTGAGGTTGAACAGCTGAGAAGTGGTAAGAAACTATTTTTTCATGCTTTGATTCTATAGTAGCAACTTCAGGGGGTTTTTGTTTTCTTTTTTCTTCCTTTCTTCTAAACAACACTGTTTATTAACTTGGAGGAAAACTGCAGAGAATTTTTAAGGCTTTTAAATCTGAGATAGAAATGAATATTGTGCCTTGAATTACATTAAAGAATTATCTACTTTTTGTCTTAATAGTATAAAAATGAAGACTGGGCGCGGTGGCTCACACCTGTAATCCCAGCATTTAGGGAGGCTGAGGCGGGTGGATCGCCTGAGGTCAGGAGTTCAAGACTAGCCTGACCAACATAGTGAAACACCATCTCTACTAAAAATACAAAAAATTGGCTGGGCGTGGTGGCAGGCGCCTATAATCCCAGCTACTTGGGAGGTTGCCCCATTGCACTCCAGCCTGAGCAACAAAAGTGAGACTCCATCGCAAAAATAAAATAAAATAAAATAAAGGCCAGGCTGAAAAGATCCCAAATCTCTGAATTTTCTGACCACTAGTTTTTGTACCATACCATGTCACAATTGTAGTAACCTTTATAGGAAATATTTACTAAATAGTCAAGTTTTTCTGAAATTTTATTTGTTTAATAAAACCACTAATATTATGATTTCCATAAAATGCATCTAATTTAAGATAGCAATGATAGTTATATAATCCTATTTGCTAAGAAATTTCAAAATTAGGCCAGGCTCGGTGGCTCACGCCCGTAATCTCAGCATTTTGGGAGGCTGAGGTGGATGGATCAAGAAATCAGGAGTTCAAGAGCAGCCTGGCCAGCGTGGTAAAACCCCATCTCTACTAAAGATACAAAAAATTAGCTGGGTGTGGTGCCACGTGCCCTACTCCACAGGCTGAGGCAGGAGAATCGCTTGAACCTGGGAGGCGGAGGTTGCAGTGAGCCGAGATCACACCATTGCACTCTAGCCTGGGTGATACGGTGAGACTCTGTCTCAGAAAAAAAAAATTTTCAAAATTAATTCTGAAACATAAATATAATAGAGGTGTTATTAGTACTGATAACTGAACTTAGCAGGTACTAAAATTTCCACAGCTTGTATTCCAGAGATTTGTTGAACATGCCAGAGCAGAGTTCAATAACTGGCTAAGAGTTAAGCTAGAGGACCTCCAAGAACCATGGAGCCAAAGCTGGCAATTATGTCTTTATTCCAGTAGAAAATAAACTTTAATGATTGCTATAAAATGTAAGGGTGGACTCTTAACTTCTCCTGTGTTCCTTCCCTCTTTCCCTTTCCTCTTCCCTTTTTTTCTTTGCTGTTATTTTTTCTCCTCTTGCCTTCCCCTCCTCTCCCTCCCCTTCCCTGCCTTCCTTTACTAGCTCTCTTTAGTAAGAATTTGAAGTGGCATCCAATAAATACCAGGCATTATAAAGTTAATAAAGTATAATGCCCCTTCTCATTCTGAGTTCTTCTGGCTAGAAAGTTCTAGTGTATTCGCTATTTTAAAATATTTTCCACTATCTGAATTAAAGTCTAGACATAGCTAGGACTTTCTCAATGTTTGATTAACAGTTATAAAAGTAATGTTACATAAAAGAGACTAAACAGTTGTTGTTTTTGATTGAAAAGATGATCTTTATCGTCCAGGTATGTAGTCATGTGCTATATTAGCTTTCTGAGCTATTTGTTAAGTTAAATTGGAACGAACTTCTTTCTTTTCTTCCTTCCTTTCTGTCTCTCTGGTTCCTTCTTTCTTTCCCTCTTCTTTCTCTTCCTCCCTCCCTTCTTCCTTCATTCCTTTCTTCCTTCCCTCTTGTCTTAGATATATGGCTTTGGAGGAGAAAGGAAGAAAAGTTTCCTGACTCAGTGTTATCCCACCCACGCTCATTAACATCCCTCGTAAAATTAGAAACTCAAAATCAGTGCTGTCCAACTGAAATGTAATGCAAGCCATATATGTAATTTTATTTTTTTTAAATAACCGCATTAGAAAAGCAAAAGGAAATTAGGGAAATTAATTTTAATAATATATTTTATTTAAACATATCAAAAATATTTCAGTATGTAATAAGTATAAAAATTACTAATGGAATATTTTACATCTTTTTTTTACAAAACTGTCTTTAAAATTCTGTATATTTATAGCTCATTTCAAGTTATACTAGCCATAATTCAAGTGCTCAGTTGCCACATATGGTTTAGTGCCTACTGTATTGATCAACACAGCTCAAAACTGCTTTTTGGTGACTTTTGGGATGCTTAGCACATTTTTCAATTATGTAAAATAATAACAGCAGCTAGGATTAGGTCTCAAGAGAGCTAATTAACAATGAGAGCATTTATGAAAAATGCTTATGTCATTCATTCATATACTATTCATTCAACAATTAGACTTTGAGGACATATTATGTATGTAAAGGACCGTAGATAAAGAGAGGAATAAGGTGTTCCCTGACCCTACTGAGTTTACAGTAGATTAATAATAGGAGACAGATTGATTGCAATATAAGAGGCTAAAGACTACGATGAAGGAATTAAAGGCATGCTATGGGAACCGAGAGGTGCAAGAAACTCTTTCCAGGGCAATCTGTCTGGAAGGCTTGACAGGGGAGGAAAAATATTCCAACTGACTTTTGAAAACTGATTCAGAATATGCTGGGTATTGAAGATGGAAAGGGAATTATAGGCAGAAGGAACAGGATACATATGAGTACGATTCATGAGGAATAGAAGAGGGGAAGTGAAATACTTTGAGCACTTGCCTCATGCTGAAGACTGTGTTGGGGAAGTAATTTATTTAACTGTGGAAACAACAAAGCATTTGAGGGACAGTAACAAGTTCGGTGGGTCTGATTTCTAGAATGTAAGAAGTGGAGATGAAGATAAAGAAGTTAATGGTTTGGGCTGGAATCTGAAGGGCCTCATGTGCTATACACAAGTTTAGTGTAAGATGGAGGCAGTTTTGCACAGCGTTAAGCAAGAGGCCTTGAGGTCAGAATGTATCGTATTTGAATTTGAACTCCACTACTTAATAACTTTGTGATTGAGAACGAGCTTACTTATACTACATTGGAGGGTTTTAATCTGTAAAATGAGGATACCAGTGCCCGCTTCAACAATTGTCTAGAGAAAGGATTATAAATCGTTCTTTTATAAAGACACATGCACACATATGTTCATTGCAGCACTGTTTACAATAGCAAAGACCTGGAACCAACCCAAATACCCACCAATGATAGACTGGACAAGGAAAATGTGGCACATATACACCATGGAATACTATGCAGCCATAAAAAACAATGAGTTCACGTCCTTTGTAGGGACATGGATGAATCTGGAAACCATTATTCTCAGCAAACTGACACAAGAACAGAAAATCAGACACCACATGTTCTCACTCATCAGTGGGAGTTGAACAATGAGAACACATGGACACAGGGGAGCATCACACACTGGGGTCTGTTGAGGGGGCTAGGGTGAGAGCAGGGGGTGGGGAGGTTGGGGAGGGATAACATGGGGAGAAATGCCAGATATAGGTGATTGGGGGATGGAGGCAGCAAACCACATTGCCACGTATGTACCTATGCAACAATCCCACATAATCTGCACATGTACCTCAGAACCTAAAGTACAAAAAACAAACAAACAAAAAAATTGTCCAGAGAAACAAAGGAAATAAATGCTAAATTTATTTTATTAAAACATTTAGCATAGTACTTGGCACATCGGAAGCTCTCCTTAAATACTAGCTATAATTATTGTTTAGAATGGCAACAGAGAACCAGAGAAGGTCTCTAATGGTCAGATTAGCAGGTACATGTTTTTGTTCAGAAATTCTGACCAAGGTGTGGTGACAGGCTAGAGAAACAGGCAGTAGTGAGACATTTGGAGATTTCTTGCAAAGATGACGTGATTGGGTCTAAACGTAGTAGAAATAGAGATGGAGAGACTGAGAGGTTGTGGGAAGCATTATGTGAGACATTTTTGAAGGGTAATCAGTAGGTCTTAGTGGTTGAATAGGGATGGAAGATTGGAAAGAAAGAGGAGTTAAAGTTGGCCCTAAAGTGGGAGGACTGGGCAACTGACTAAAGAGATTGCACACAGGGGAAGTTTTCAGGTGGGACGCTGGTGAATGTGGGAATATGTAATGGAGATAGATTTGGGGCCCATCAGCAGATTGGTGGTAGGTGAAGCCATAGGGAAGAAGGAAACCATTCCAAAAGAAAACATACCAGCTGAGAAGAGTTTGAAAGAGAAGATGGTCTGGGGAAAAGTCCCCATTGTAAGGGTTGGGCAGTTTAAAAAGTGAGACAAGAACTTTTAGAGAGATAGAAGGAAGACGAGGGATGATAGTGTCATGGAAACAGAAGAAAAGACATTTTAAGAAATTAGGGATTTCTGAGTTACTGACGTACCTAGATGCATAATAAATAGACCCATGTGCAGTGGCTCAGCACTGGAAGTTTACTTCTTTTTGTAAAAGTCTAGTTCAGTGTCTTTATGTGGGGCTTTGGGTGTCAGAGGGATGCTGTGTTCCATGAAGTTCTTCAGGAACCCAGGTTGATGGTTTTACATTTTTAATCCTTACTTTTTGGTGTCACCTTGAGAGTAGATCTCCATACCAGACAACCAAGGAAAGAGCTTGGAGGAGCAAAAGGAGGGGCAAAGCCCCTGAAGCATAAGCTCCTGGCCTGGAAACAGCATGGATCATTTCTACTAGAGAAAGCTCAGGCACATAGCCACACCTCACTGCAAAGGATACTGTGAAATGTTGTCTAGCTGAGTGCCAGGAGGAAGAGCAAGTAGATTTGGCCTCTGCCATAGGAGAGTTAAGAAGTTGTGGTTATGAGAGGACTGATGAGAAACTACATAGTCAGCAAATAGGCATCATTGGTAACTTCCCAGAATACTTTCAGCAGAGCCATGGAGATGGAAGAGAAATGGCCAAGTATAGGGCTCTGCTGATCACAAAAGGAAAACGGACTTCTCTTTATATCCTGTTCTTTCTGGGAATGACCAGGA